AATTCCTTTTATAAGATGCAAGAAATGGCTTCAAAAGGAAGAGTGGAGCCTTCTAAACCAAAGCAAGAAAGGGTTAACTTGAGTTGCTAGGTAACAAAGTGTGTGAAGACTGGGAACATAGAAGGCAGACAAGAAGGAAGCGACATCACAGGTACATTTCTCCTACTTTTTATTGCCTAGAGCTGGCCCTGGAAGGACTGGGACAAGTTATCCAATCACTTTGTATTTGCTTGTAAATGTGCCTCAATGATTTTGATATCTAGAGCCCTATATCATGTGAATCTTATGAAATTCACTTATTCATTATTTTCTGGCTTTTTCCAATGTCCATTGTGATGATTATACTCTTTTTTTTTGTAATAAGAAATATATTGCTTATTAAGACAAACAAATGCAAAACTGTGTGAGAGGTGCTATACTGGAATTATCTGCCAATATTGTTCTCTGAACGATACCATACTCATTTATATCTTGATGGGTTTTTTTCTTAAGCTTTTTTTATTGAGGTAACATTGGTTTATAACATTATATAAATTTCAGGTGTACATCGTTATATTTTGACTTCTGCGTAGATTACATCATGTTCATCACCCAAAGACTAATTACCATCCGTCACCATACACATGTGCCCTATTACCCCTTTCGCCCTCCTCTCTCCTCCCTTCCCCTCTGGTAACCACCAATATAATCTCTGTAACTATGTGTTTGTTTGTTGTTATTGTTATTGTTTTTATCTTCTACTTATGAGTGAAATCATACAGTATTTAACTTTATCCATCTGACATTTCGCTTAGCATAGTTCCATCAAGTTCTACCCATGTTGTCTTAAATGGCAAGATTTCTTATTTTCTTATAGCTGAGTAGTATTCCATTGGGTAAATATACCACATCTTCTTTAGCCATTCATCCATTGATGGGCACTTAGGTTGTTTCCAAGTTTTGGCTACTGTGAATAATGCTGCAAAACACACAAGGGTGCAAATATCTTTTCACATTCGTGTTTTCATTTTCTTTGGATTAAATACCCAGAAGTGGAATAGCTGGATCATATGGTAGTTCTAGTCTTAATTTTTTGAGGAATCTCCATACTGTTTTCCATAGTGGCTGCACTGGTTTACATTCCCTCCAGCAGTATATGAGAGTTCCTTTTTCTCTACGTCCTCTCCAACACTTGTTATTTCTGGTCTTTTTAATAATAACTATCCTGACTGATGTAAGGTAATATCTCATTGTAGTTTTGATTTGCATTTCCCTAATAATTAGCGATGTTGAACATCTTTTCATGTGCCTGTTGGCCATGTGTATATCTGCTTTGGAAAAATGTCTGTTTGTATCCTCTGCCTATTTTTTGATTGGGTTGTTTTTTTTATTGTTGAGTTCTATGAGTTCTTTATATATTTTGGTAATTAACCAATTATCAGACATATGGTTTACAAAATCTTCTCCCAATTGTTCGGTTGTCTTCATTTTGTTGATGGTTACCTTTGCTGTGCAGAAGCTTTTTAATTTGATGTAGTCCTGTTTGTTTTGTTTTGTTTTGTTTTGCTTGCCTGGTGAGACATGATATTCGAAAAGGTGCTGCTAAGATGGATGTTGAAGACTGTACTGCCTACATTTTCTTCTAGGAGTTTTGTGGTTTTAGGTCTTACATTCAAAGCTTTAATCCATTTTGAGTTAATTTTTGTATATGATGTAAGATAATGGTCTACTTTCATTCTTTTGCATATGGCTGTCCAGTTTTCCTACACCTTTTATTGAAGAGACTTTCCTTTCTGCACTATATCTTCTTGGCTCCCTTGTCTAAAATTAGCTGTCCATAGATGTGTGGATTTATTTCTGGGCTCTCATTCTCTTCCATTGATCTATGTGTCTGTTTTTCTGCCAGTACCATGCTGTTTTGATTTCTATAGCTTTGTAGTATATTTTGAAATCAGGGAGTGTGATACCCCCAGCTTTGTTCTTTTTTCTCAGGATTCCTTTGGCTATTTGGGGTCTTCTGTTGTTCCTTATAAATTTTAGGATTCTTTGTTCTATTTCTGTGAAAAATGTCATTGAGACTTTGATAGGGGTTGCATTGAATCTGTAAATTGCTTTAGGAAGTATGGACATTTTAACTATTTTAGTTCTTCCAAACCATGGGCAAAGAATATCTTTTTATTTCTTTATGTTTTCTATTTCTTTCAACAGTGTTTCCTAGTTTTTAGTGTACAGGTCTTTCACCTTTTTGGTTAAATTTATTCCCAAGTATTTTATTCTTTTTGTTGTGATTTTAAATGGGATTGTATGCTTGATTTCTCTTTCTGCTATCTTGTTGTTAGTATAGAAATGCAATTGATTTTTTATGTTGATTTTGTATCCTGCAACTTACCATATTCATTTATTATTTCTAATAGTTTTCTGGTGGATTCTTTGGAGTTTTCTATATATAAAATCATATCATCTGAAAATACTGACAGTTTTACTTCTTCCTTTCCAATTTGGATCCCTTTTATTTCTTTTTCTTGCCTGATAGCTCTGGCTAGGACTTGCAATACTATGTTAAATAAGAGTAGTAAAAGTAAGCACCCTTGTCTTGTTCCTCTTCTTAAAAGGATAGCTTTCAGTTTTTCTCCATTGAGTGTGATATTGGCTATGGGTTTTTCATATATGGCCTTTATTGTGTTGGGATACTTTCCTTCTATACTCCTTTTATTCAGAGTTTTTATCATAAGTGAGTGCTGTATCTTGTCAAATGCTTTCTCTGCATCTATTGAGATGATCATTCTTCCTTATTTATTATGCTAGGTTTTATCTGCTAACGTTAGAGCACACAGACATTTCAGTGAAAATAGAATGGTTCTTCTGGGGGCTCTATAATACTCTGTAATTTATATGTAATGTTTCATGTACCATTCATTTGAAGGACTTTCAATGTCAGGATTCTTTTTTTACATGTTCTCTTTTTTCAAATATCAAACTATGGGTGTGAATATCAAGGGTCAATGCAGCCTTAGGCAACAGTAAGGTTGATTAATGATGTTTAATAATTTCAGGATTTGGGGAAAAGTGTTGTTATTTCTTGGCATTTTGTCAATGACTCTTTGGTTCTTCAGACTCTGGAATTGATGGAAAGGAAAGAATTTAGAGGAATGTTTTCCTTTCCACTTTTATCATGGCAGTATTTTCCCTCTGCACAACAGATGCCACTGACGTATGATTAGATCCAAATGCAGAAGTTGAACTTCATCAAAAGGGTCTTGATCAGAGAAAAGAAGATTGCTGTTCCGGCGTTATCTGTATTCCTGAGTCACTCTATTGGGTCTGAGTTTCATTTATACTCTTCTATGAGATTATGTCCCTTTGATTTACTACTTGTAATCCCTTTAGAGTGGGAATTGTGGTAGGAATGTGAGTGATGTATTTAATGCTAAAAGTTGACATTTTACTTGGTTGCCCACTGGAATTTTAATCATTTATGGAATATGTGTATAGATAGATAGGTAGATATAGACATAGATATGGATATAGGTATGGGCTTCTTTATTGCAGATAATTAATGGGGCAATGTTCTTTCTTCATTTTTCAGCTATAGAATTTATCTCATCTTCTCTTTTCTTTAGAAAAAGAATGTGAAATCTATATACATATTAGTTTCATGAGTCAATAAGTAAAAAGTTGAATCATTAGGTTATTTTTTATCCCAAAATATCTAGACACTTGAGTATAAATATTGCCCATATGGTTACCAAATTTCAAGCTGTCGTGCTTAAGTTAAATTTAACCCATTTGGAATCTGAATATTGTTTTTTTGGCATCAGCAAATCCTTACTTTACAAAATACCTGCCACAGAAAAGGTTCTTTTTATTATGCAGACAATTCCAGTTCAGTACCAGCAAACATACAGTGTTTAAGATCATGGCATTATGATGGATGATAGCACTTTTCTAGACATATGAATCCTTTTCCAACAGCAGCTGTATCAGTATGGCTCTCTAAATAATTAATTCAACTGCCTTTAAAGCACTATTCACAATTAAATTCAAACTCACAAAGATATATCTGCCAGTAATTCTTAAGCTTTTTGTTGTCATGACTCATTATATTTTTTGTAACTCCTCTATTCTTGCAGCCCTTATTCATCATGGGACATATTTATTTTATTCATACAGTTAACCAATATTTATCGATCACTTCCTATAAACCAAAAATATGGTGCTAGGAACTAGATATTTTATAGGACACTTTATAGGTCATACCAAGTTCTTTACTTCCTGGAACTTACGAACTAACCTTATTTTTCAAAGTAAAGTGCATCTAATGCATTTAAATGGGGATCAAGGGCTGCAGAATTTTGCAGTAGCCTTTGAGATACACAGAAAGTTATAAAGCAAGGTTTGGAATCATTGCCTAATGATCAGATTTTCAACTATAAAATATCCAGGAATGAAAGCAGTTATGTATTTTTATTTTGCTTACTAAAACGTCTAAAGTTCTGCAGAAGGCAGTAATGAATATCTGCAATTATCATATGCTGAATTTGTCCATGAATACAATGTGTTTTGAGAGTTAGTCTCAGTGTGCATTAAATGCTTCAGACCACAAAGATGAAATTGAGTAAATTCCTACTTAAATTAAATAAGACATTCAGGAATTGTATATATGCCATCCACTTAAGATTGTGTGAAGAGGCAGACGGTGAGCACCATTTGGGCAGAGACCCCACTTAGCTTTTTACCCTAATGTTTCCATTGTTCAATTTAACCATTTCATCCCCATCATAGAGAATGCATGCAACAAAAAGTTATAGAATGAGTGGATGAATAAATGATTAAGAATAATTTAATTAACTCCTTTCTTCATACACCAAGTGGAAAAAGGTAGTGTGGTGTATATTGATGTCACCAAGGGACATGATAATGCTTTCTGAAGGCTATAGGTAGGTATAAAAGTTAATACAATGCTGTCATAAAGAGTCATACCTCTGTTCACTTAATTTTCTCCATTATTTGTTTCTTTGCAGAGCGATTCAATGTGTATCTTATGCCTACACCAAATCTGGATATTTATGGCGAATGCACAATGCAGATCACTCATGAGAATATCTATCTCTGGGATATCCACAATGCCAAAGTCAAACTGGTGATGTGGCCTCTCAGCTCGCTGAGGAGATACGGGCGGGACTCAACGTGGTTCACGTTTGAGTCAGGAAGGTAAGCTTCAGGTGTAGGAACCAAGTGCAGGAGGTGTCTCCTGAACGAAAGGATCTGTCCACCAGTGCCCAGGAGGACCATTGTTTTTATAAAGGGTAGAAATCACCAAATACATAATTTCTTCACATTCTTGTTGATAATCTGAATAAAACCGTGTTAATTCTATGGCAAGTTAATTACACCATTCAAAATAATTTCAGTCTCTTACACTGGCATCAAACTAGTTTTATAATTATTTGAGTCATGCCATATATTTTGCAATATTACTATAGTACTGTATTTTTGGTGTATCCCACTATATTTTTGGTGCAATAGGAGTCCTATAAAATTCAACATGTTATTGCTAGCATTATTTTTCTAAATTTTTTATAAGCAAACAATTTTGAAAGGAGTTTTCTATAAAATTGTTTAAATATTACTTTTTAGCTTGGAGATAAGTTATCCAGATGTTTATGTTAATAACATTAGCTAAGTATAAATATTAATTCAGAATGACTGAAGAAATTTTGGCAAATTCACAATTTATGAAATGTGTAACTCAGATTTTAAACTTAGTATGTCAGGGCAAATACGTTGGTTTCTTGATCACAGCATATAGTTGGAATCTATAAATGTCTGAAATGAATGCCTGCTTCATAGTCATTATTCACAGACGTGGGTTTAGACATGAGCTTCAGTCAGCTAAATCAATGTCATTAACTATGACTCCTTTGTGATATTGTTTAAGCAGCCAAGACAAAACTTAGGTTTGGGGATTCCATATAAGAGATGTTTAATGCATCAGTCTTCACTCTGGGTATGTGATTTATCACATTCTGAGAACGAATCTGTGGCATTATAAGGTAATTATAGTGAAGTCACTATGTGACTGGTTAGACAAATTATGATATAGTTGTACAACAATACTACCTACTGATGACACACACGTGGATGAATCTCAAAAGCATTATTCTAAGCAATATGTATGATTCCATTTGTAGAAAATTCTACAACAGACAAAACTAATTTATAGTGACAGAAAGCAAATCAGTAGTTGCCAGGGGTTGGAGATTGGGAGAGAATGGAGTCAAAGGGGCACAAAGGAACTTTGGGGGATGATGAAAATGTCCTGTATTTTGACATTTGTCAAAAACCATGGAACTGTTTACTAAATATTGGTGAGTATTATTATATGCAAATTATGCCCTAATGTTTTTAATCTGAAAAAAAATTGGGGAAAAGAAAGTAGGAAGCGATTTACTCTTCTTATTTTATATACTTTCATACTGTTTGGATGTTTGGCAGTGAGCATTTGTTAATTTTATAATAAAACACTTCCTCTGGAAGGAATCGGGCCAAGGAAGGAGGAGAACCCTGAGCATTCTCTGGATAGGGGATCTTGAATATGCGGTATACATCCAGGCCTTTACTCCTAGGCAGGTAAAATATGGTCAGAAATCTGTTTTTGTAACCTGGGCAGGTTTGCACTTTTTATGTTTTCTTTGTAAATCTCTATTTTCCCTTAGTATTGAGATTTTTTAATACCTTATATTGTCTGATTTAAAAGTTAACACAAACTTTTGAGGGAGAGGTTGCAAAGAAAAGCTTAAAATCACTCATAATTTCTCCATCTTAAGAAAAATCAAGATTTTTTAATATTTTAGTGTACTTCTTTCTAATATATTTTCTTTTTTTTTTATAATTTTATTTATTTATTTTTTCCCCCAAAGCCCCAGTAGATAGGTGTATGTCATAGCTGCACATCCTTCTAGTTGCTGTATGCAGCCTCAGCATGGCCGGAGAAGCGGTGCCTCGGTGTACGCCCGGGATCCGAACCCGGGCCGCCAGCAGCGGAGCACGTGCACTTAACCGCTAAGCCACGGGGCCGGCCCTCCAATATATTTTCACTTAATATTATATTGAGAAGCAATCTCTGAGTCCTTTAAAATCAAGATTCTAATGGCTGTACAGTATCTGAACATATGGCTTTGCCATCATTAATTTGACATTACGATGTTTCCAAAATGAACTCTTATAAATAAAGCCACACTGACCATCTGTGAAAAGATGAGCAAACCTCTTATTATTTTCGTAGCAGAGCCTTTTTAAAGAAGAATTACTGGGTCAAAGGCTGTGAACGTTTTCAAGGTTCTTCACAATGTAGCAAATTGCTTTCAAGGAAAGTAATATCAATTCGTACATCCTCTAATTGTGCAAAGAGAGTGCTCTTCTTGACCCTGTAACCACAAGCATTAAATGATGATTTAAGATGTTTCTATTCTGATAGAGGACTGGATATCTTGTTAGTTTTTTCTTTCCTCTTTTGCTTGTTTCCTTATCTTTATGATTGGAGGTTTGTCCACGTGCACACTGTTTATTTGTATTTGTTTCCTTCTCTGAATTTTGGGCACCCTTTGCCCTTTAATAATTGGAATACTGACCATTATTCTGTACATCTATTTCATAAATTCCGGATGATCTCACTCTTGCTAAAGGGAGCCAAGGGTAGAAGGATTTGTCCGTGCTGGATCCAGAGAAATAAAAGCAGGACATTGTGTTCCCTGGGTCAGGACGGGGGGTGGGGAGAGGGGGAGGTCATGGATGATGAGATAGAGGACAATTTAAAGGACAAATTGGCAGGTGAGGCCTGGCTAGTCATCCCAGCAAACCTTGAGCTGAAGATCTACGTTTTCTGGGTTTTATTTTATTAGCTCTTTGCACAGGTCATATCCTTTGGTAGCAATTTTTAGTCATTTATTTATATTACTACACGTACTGGAAAAGAATAAAATTGGATATGTTGAAATACTCCTTTTATTTACTGACAGGCTTTTTTCAAAATGCATTGTTAAATTCTACTGTACCAATAAAATATGAAAATGAACACTAGGAATGGATCTAGATCGTCCTTTCTGGAGGAGCTTACCTTGTACATCCTTACAATTATAACTATACTCTGTAATCCTCAGGGAACACATGCTGAGTGCGAGGATAGGGAGAGAAAATGAACCAGGAAGCTTTCAGTGAGAATCGTCCTCAGTGGGGACATGGTGTTTGGGAGTTTAATTCATAGTCTCATGCCAGCTTAGAGCAATTGCTCTTTTACCACAACAATTTTAAGAGTAAAAAACACCCAATTTGCCATGCAATCTCATTTTGTCAAAAAATCAAAAAAGATATCCAGACCTGCAGAGGATGTCATAGGATCCATGATTATGTGCAATTTTATCCTGTGAAAGACAAAACCACTTTTTTTAACTGCTGATGTGGCATTTTCACTTGATATATAAGCTTGTAAATATTGTAAGCAAAAATCAGAATGAGTTCAAATGCCTGCATAACAAAATTCAAGTGAGCCTCAAGTTCTTTTTTTATAAAATTATTGTTCAAAATGTAATCTCCTTATTCAGCACAATGCTTAATATAACAAAATTGATGCTAAAATATATGTCTTACTAACTTTGATAATATTGTTTCTATTTAGAATCCTGGGAAAAATCTGGTCACAGATTATTAACAATTGTTTAATAATTAAACAATACTTAAATATTGCAATACAGTTCTTATGGGAGGACGGTTAAGGGAAGCAAATGCTATATGTGCTATTATCAAGGATTCTGTGTTGTCATAGGTAGGCTTAATTTATCCCCAAACCTTTTTTGATCAGTAATGAAGAGAGAAATCCTTCCTTTTTTAATGCATGACCAATTAGTTAAAAGGAAAGGTAAGGCAGAGAGTTCTTAAATGTGATACCAAAGCATGATCCAAAGAAAATTGATTAATTGGACTGTATCAAAATTAAAAACTTAGCTCTGCAAAAGAGACTTTTAGGGAATAAAAAGACAAGACATAGGTCTGGAGAAAATATTTGGAAGTTACATATTTGACAAATCACTTGTATCCAAAATATATAAAGAACTTCAAAACTCAACAATAAGAAAAAATACAACCCAATTTTAAAAATAGGCAAAAGATTTGAGCAGACACTTCACCAATAAGATATATGGTTGACCAACAATCACACTAAATGATGCCAAACCTAATTAGTCATTAAGAAATGCAAATTAAAACCATGATGAGATAGAACTATATATCTCTTATAATGGCTAAAATCTGACAATACCAAGTGCTGAGAAGGATGCACAGCAAATGGAACTCTCATATAACGTTGGTGAGAATTCAAAATGGTATAGCCATTTTCCAAAGCCATTTAACCACTTTTTTAAGTAAACTTAAACATACACTTAACATATGACGCAGGAATCGAGCTTCCAGATATTTCCTCATGAAAAATAAAAGTGTATGTTTATACCAAAACCTGTACATGAATGTTGATAGACATTTAATTCATCACTGCCAAAAACTGGACAAGCCAAATGTCCTTAGTTGAAGGGATAAACAAACTAGTAAATCCATAGATTGCTACTCAGCAATAAAAAGGAGCAAACAACTGATAGACACAGGTGGATGTATCACAGATGCATTGTCCTAAGTGAAAGAAGCCAGATTCAAAAGACAACATACTCTATGGTATCATTTATATGAGAAAAATAAATAAATAAGGATAGAAAAGAGACCAGTGTTTGCCAGAGGATGGGGTGTGTAGAGGGATTGACTACAAATCAACAACATAAAGGAAATTTGGGGAATGATGAAACTGTTCCTTATCTTGCTTGTGGTGGTAGATATGTAATTCTATGCATTTCTCAAAACCTAGAGAACTGTATAGCACAAAGAGTGAATGCTACTATATGGCAAATTTTAAATTTAAAAATAAATTTAAAAAAATGAGAGAGTTTCACATACATGGTCAAATGATTTTTGACAAGGATGCCAAGACCATTCAATGGAGAAAAGACAGTCTTTTCAACAAAGGGTGCTGGGAAAACCGTATATCCACATGCAAAAAGTTGGCTCCTTACCTATCACGTATATCACAAAAATTAACTCAAAATGCATCAACGACCTAAAAGTAACACCTAAAACTACAAAACTCAGAAGAAAACATAAGGCAAAAGCTT